GTATACGCAGCAGCTCTTTTCAAGATGGACCACTTGATGCTATAATTTCTTCTACTTTGCTTCAGACTCCAAATATACTTGGAAAGCTTTGTATCAGACAAGTGGTTGTAGAGGTTGAATGACGTTTTGTGGTTCGCGTATCTTTCCTTCAATGGGTTGGCCGTCATTCCAATATATTCTTTTGTATTTCCGTTATCAGTTGTTGTCACTGTGGCTTTATAGACGATGTTGTCTACTTTGCACTTCCCGTCTAGTGGGCATTCATCTGGTTTGTTACAGTTGCATTGGACAGGTTTTTGGGTAGGGTTTCTCTTTAACAGGCGATGGTTATGTCGGGATATAATGGTTTTGACATTCTCCATGCAGGAGTAGCTAACTTTGACTGTGTTGCGGTTAGAGACCTTATGAAGCGGATTAGTAGAAGAGAAATGTTTATCAATCAATTGTAGGAAATTTCGACCAACGTTAGAGCGAACAGTTTTACTGAAGGGAGGATTAAACCAAATGATGTTTCTACGACGTCTTCGGTTGGTAGATGGCAAACTGGAGGAATTATCACAGGGCGAGTATTGCAGAGGTACATCGTAGTTGCTGCGCTTAAGCGCATCTTCGTAAAATGGTGCAGCAGAATCAAAGGATGCTTGATCGGAAGAAAGTGAGGAGATGCGTTTGTTGATTGAGGAAGGGATATGGTTAATGATAGAAGGTGGGTGGTTAGATCTATTGTCGACGTAGAGTGGGTCATTGTTTGGTTTCCTAAAAGGTGAAAATGTTTCGTTTTCAAGTCCAATGTGAGATCTAGGAAGTTGACAACATGATAGTTCACCTCTGCTGTTATCTTGAAACCAATGTTATTAAAGATAGCGTGTAGTTCTTTCCTCGCTTTATCGGCTGATCTGGCTCGTTTAGCTTTCAAAATTGCCAACCCATCATCTCTGTACAGACCAACTTGATTCTTTCCGAACTTCGCCTCAAGTTTACTTAGGATGAATAATCCGACTAGTTCGCAAATTTCTGCCCCATCGTAGCTGCCCATTGTAACATCGAACATTGTTTCGTTTTTTCTTTTAACCCATGTTTTATCTTGGTGAAAAAGTAAGGACTTGCGTGCGTGTTTGATGACAGCTACATGATCATCAGAGATTGGTGTAATGGCTTTGGCCCAGCTAATAACTTTGTCGAGGAGCTCTTCGGTAATTGAAGGATAAAAATCAACAATGTCAAATGACAGGAACATGTGGTTAGGTTTATTATTAACAGATTTGAACCAATCGATGACAGAATAGGAATTTTTCCATTGATTCACGTTGATGGAAGATTTAATGCGATTTTTAATATTGTCAAGAATGACTTTGCTGACTTTTCCCAGCTCGCTCTTTGCAGGATTAATGAGACGAAATTTGGGGTTGTTTTGAAAGTTTTCTTTGTGATCCTTCAGGGTTACATAAGCATTTCTTTCAGCCATGATATCAATTCGGTTTCCGATAGAAAGACTGTTAGTTATGTCTTTTAGTTCTTGGTTGATGGTATCGGTAACGCCTTCATTTCCACTGAGCTTGTAACTTTTTGTAATATTGTCGGTAAGTGTTTTTCTGTAATTTTCTGGAGAAGTTTCGTAAACATTACTAGATTTATCAGCGAAGACAACGACTTTTTGGGATGAATTGATGTTCTTTATATCTTCCTGAACTTTGCTTTGAAATGGATCGGCCACGTTTCTGAAACGGATATTTGAGGTTAATTTGACAAGGTCGTCCTCAAATGCCTTAATCTCTCTGATTGGTGGGGCATAATTCTTTGATGGTAATCCGTAATTGTTTTCTGAATTTGTAACTTCGTTATTTCCCAAAAAGAAATGGGCTTTCCATCTCATGCGCTGAACAACACTTTCGGCTTTTTCAATCAAACGTTTGCGGTAAAAAATATCATCAAAAAATAAAAAATTAAAAAAAAAAAATCATCGTCTGGCCAATCAACGGCCAACCCATTCAAGGAAAGATACGCGAACCACAAAACGTCATTCAACCTCTACAACCACTCGTCTGATACAAAGCTTTCCAAGTATATTTGGAGTCTGAAGCAAAGTAGAAGAAATTATAGCATCAAGTGGTCCATCTTGAAAAGAGCTGCTGCGTATACGCCTGGTGGAAAACGATGTGGCCTCTGTTTGGAAGAGAAGTTATGCATCCTGAAAGCGAAAGGGAACAATTCACTGAACACGCGATCAGAGTTTTATGCGAAATGCTGTCATAAGGAAAAATTTAGCGCGTGCAAATTCAAACCAATGACGCGAGACAAGCCTACGCGTCAGCGACAGACCGTTGATGCTGACGAATCAAACACAAACTGAATTAATTGCCTGAAGATCGTCTTGAATAAGGCGTGAAACTTGAGTAGCAATAATTAATTTTAAAATATATATATATATATATATATATATATATATATATATATTTATATATATATATATATATATATATATATATATATATATATATATATATATATATATATATATATATATATATATATATATATATATATATATATATATTTCGAAGTTGTATGTATATATATATATGTTTTTCGAAGTTGTATCTGGTCTAGTTAAAATATTTAAAAAGTTCTAAGTTAAAAATATGTACTGAATTTTCGGCTGCTAACTACATTGAAAACTTGATATGAAAGCATTCGGAGATAGTGTTCTGTTATCCGACTCGTATATCTTACCTATAGGTAAATCTTCATTCGGACAGACTACATATGATGAAGTATAAGGGTAGTAATAACTAATAAGGCATCGAAGTATTCAAATTATATCTGCCCAATTAAATTTGAGACACCTTAAATTTGCACTGCAGAGAACAATGTTTTTAAATATTTTGCAAAAATTTGCAATTATTCACATAACCGTAGAGTTTATAATAATTCGTAATCACTGTCTAATACACCAATAAATAAAGGTTTTCTGTTTATCACTTTAATTTAAATTAAAGATTGTATGTATTTGTCTTTACAGCAATGGCGCTGTGAATGACGGAGATTATTTGATCATCGTACCGCGAGTGTTTCGAGCTGGTACGACGCAGAACATTGGTATCAATATTTTTGGAAATAAATCTTGTGATGTACGCCTTACGCTGGATGACTCAACGAAACGTGGCATCAGTAGCCAAGCAAGAGGTCATTTTCAACCAAATGAAGCTGGTATGCTGAAACTTCAGGTCAGTTTTTATCAAGTCTTTGTTTCAGGCCACTGTTCTATCATACCTCAAGCGCTAATCGTAACTGCACAGAAAGTATGGCATGGTGAATTCGCTTATGCAAGAAGTTTCAGTACGCTAATATTGCGAATATTTAACTGAGAGGTTCAGGCGATTTTAAAAAGTACATAAAGATCTCCATATTCAAAGGTATCCTATTACCGTTCTCGTCAAAACCGCAATGACGGTATAGAGGATTTTCATAGGATATTACCTTTTCAATTCGATTTTAATTTCATAACGAATCCTCTCATTCCGGTATGAAGTACGTTGACGTGCGGCGGATGTCTATGATGAGATACCGCGATATAAATTAATGGTCTTTTCAAATTCTCGACGCCTTTTGTAGGCCTACCATAAGTCCATATTAATTACTTGTCCGTGCTGTTTCATTGCCCAGGTACCTGATGGACTATCTAACGTGAAAGTGGGAGCTACTGTATGCGGAGTACAAACAGCGAAGAAAACTGTTACTTATGAAGCTCTAGCGAAGAAGGTCTTTATTCAAACCGATAAACCCATTTATAAACCTGGACAGAAAGGTCAGTACGTTATACCTGTTAGACCTTCTTTCGTATGAATTGCAATTTGGAACAAATTAGCTACGAATCACGACATGTATCATCATGAATGAATATAAAGAAAATCAACTTGATCAATGTAAACGAACGCATAGTACAAATAATTATTGCACAATCATAAAAACTGATCTTTTGCAACATCAGCTGTTCTCAGTAATTTACTGATCCTTTTAATATTAATAGAACCATTGCTGCATGACTTTCAAATTTTAAACAAGAGAAAACTTATTTTTAGTTTTGATTCGAATTATATGTGTGGATTATGAACTAAAACCTGCAGGAAAGAAAGTAAGTCAACAATTGATATTGCGTGTGCAAATGTACATCACGCACGTAACATCTTGATATTTTCAATGGAAACCACTTATACATCCTCTGAAACGGATAAAAATTGTCCACCATGCAACAAATGACTTTTCATTCCAATAGGGTTAATATGTAGTACGTTCATGAATGCCATATATAGTGTTAGCTGTATAGTGGCTTTGTATCAAAACGCGTTAAATGACATTTAGGACTTTTATTGGTAAACACATTCAGTTATACCTCGACACTCCGTAGCTACGGCTGCTACGTCCACAGGCCGTTTTTCTTATGCGTAAAAATCGATTGATAATCCACGAACTGCGCTGATTTCAACCCATTCGATAGGAAACCAATCAAAATTCAAAGGGTTTTTCAACTTTTAATGAATGTAAAGAAAGTTGCTTGTGGGACATGGTTAACTCCATTGCAAAATATAGTCACAAATTGATCAGCATTATAAAATAGACACATTGACATAGTTAATATGATTTGTACATGCAACATAGCAGCTATTTTTCCATAACATGCCTTCGCAGCAAAATTTATGATGCTAAACATGGCTATGGTGCCTTTCGCGCTAAGAAGTCGAAGGTTTTCACCTTCAGAGGACAACGTTAGTTGAATCAGCTGCGAACTTGATTAACACGTTGTTAACTATCACTCACTTATCATTAATATTGACTAATTTCTGTCCTTTTTTTTCCTGAAAGGTTTCCTCAGTAGTAATTCAGGTTTGTAGATTGTTTTGGTTTCCGTAAATATAATATCGTACAAATATGTTTAGATATCGTCATTCGTCCATCTCTCACCACTGTAGTCATGCGAAATGTGAGAACCGATATTGTGTTTGTAGTGAGTCCATGTGGCAGGGGTTGGGGTGTGGAAGGAGGAGAAGAAGGGCCATAATGGATGCCTATATGTTTTGATTATTCTAAAACGAAAGTAGTTTCTTCTTGATCATTCTCAGAGTAGTCTAATTGCATTGTGTATAACTTCCCAAAATGGCGTCATCCGTGCACTAAAGCCTTGTCAAACGAGGATGGGAGTTGATAAGAGTTGCCACTTTCGCCCGCGCTTGACCACTCACTCTCATCGACTTTCATAAACTTTCATTGATTTTGAACTGTTTAAATTTTAATTTATTTAAAAAGAGAGTTAATAAGTCTTTTCGCTATCGCGCGGTAATATCCAATTAACTTTCATCAAGTCTCATGCAATTCTCGTATTCGTCTTATCAAGGCATGAGAGTTGAGAAACCTCTCGTGTAAAACGTTCGCTTCTCAATTCTCATTAATGTTTGACCACGGCTTACAACATCATAGCTTGCACAAATAAGATCGAGACTGCCAAAACGGCTTCAGAATTAATATAAATCCCTTCACAATGATTTGATGTCACAGGAACCCAGCGGTGCGAGGATAATGCAATGGAATGATGTTGAACTAGAAGATGGTAAGATTTTCATTTTCACAATCTAAAATACTTCACGAAGTCACAACCAAAAAATAAAGTGAAAATTGAAATACGTGCGATTTTGTAATCACGTATTTGATTGCAGGCCATATATTAAATTCAATTGCCTTTATCAATCCGGATTCCGAAATAATATCACGTAAATGCATATTTAGGCGTCGCTAATCTGGATCTTCAATTGTCAAAAGAACCTGTTCTTGGTAATTGGTTAATTAAAGCGAAAATTGAGGTATGTCTACACATGAACGAAAAATGGCCGTTGGAAGGGATAGATATAGATGAGATTAACATATAGAACGTGACTACGTGAGTGCCACTATAGGTAGCGAATGAAACAAGGAGTGAACTTTTGCATATGACACAACTACCTGAAAAACATAGAATGTACTTTGACATTTCGATCGAAGGCTTTCGGCCGGAAGTTTACTGGAAGAACATTGTGAAAATCCATACTATATGAAATTTCCAATTGCATCACTAAGTACATATATAGTATGTCTATACATTAATTCCATATTATATCCATTGGATGGAAATTGCAATTAGTTTGGAAATTGGATTCCCCCCAATAGCGTGGGTTGTGCAAATCAAATGTCCTTTTATACTCGTTAATGCAAATGCGACCATGCGCGCCGGCCAGGTTATAAAATAACTAATGAGATGGATATTTTCTAAACTGGAGAGCACTAATTGCGCCTTTTAACTGATTACTGTAATCTAAAAGCCCACTTACACTCAAAGAGTGGAGGTTCAATCTCAGCTTCACTGGAGTATCAATGATGTCAAAGGAGAGTAGACATATAGTAAGGTACTATACTAACCTTCCATCTATTCAAAAACGACATTCAAGGGAAGCTCTGATTGAACTTCCACTCGACTTTGATTGTGAGTGTGAGTGAGCTTTTATAGAATATAGGCGTTACAGACTGTATACCTCCGCCTGGGAATTAAGTTATATATTGTGCACAAATTGTACAATATGCTAATTACGCACTCAGTGTATTTTGTCCAGGAATGAGCAAAGCAAAGTTTGCAAATTTCTTTTCCAAATTTAACGAATGCCTACGGCAACTATGGTCTCAAAATTACTCAACGTTTGTTATTTCGAATAAACAAACGCATAATTTAAGTGGTACCCTTGCAGTACGTTTATTTGTTTGCATTCACAGATGCAATATATTTGTTTTTCAGAGCAAAACAGTCACAAAGCAAATTGAAATTGATAAGTACGGTAAGTGGACTGCAGATATACAGCTTATGCATTTAATGTACGCTCCATTGTCTCATCGATATACTTTATTATATAATACCTTATTAAATTCTAATCGTTTAATTGGCTGTTTATGGTCACGTGATATTGAATAGAAAATTCCATTTCCCAAGAGTGCAATGGAACGCGTTCCATTGCACTCTCGGCGAGTGCAATGGAATAAAACGTATAGTACAATTGCACTCTTTGTGTTTTCGATAAATCGCATCCCTGAAAATGCTTCTCATACGAATTTATTAGTCTGTTCTGGACTTTTGGTATTATATAAAACAAATAATAAATGTTTCTTCGTGCAATGGTAAGAATATTTTCATTCGGTGAAAGACGGAATGTTCCATTCAACTCGGCTGTCGCCTCGTTGAATGGAACATTCCATCTTTCACCTCATGAAAATATTCTTACCATTGCACTCATAAACATTCATTATTTGTATATTATCTAATTTTTGTATTGTTTTTCAAATTTCCAGACTACGGCACTTTTTTCACAATATTATAATTATTTCAATTTCAGCGTAATCATAATAATATTTTTAGTGAAAATATATCAGCGCTACTCTCAGTGTGCTATGAATATGTTATAAATCAAAGTCATTCCGTATTCCAGGAAACGAACACGCGGAGGAATTTCGTTCTCGATCAATTAATGCATTTGTTGACATTTTCGCTCTAAGTCAATCTGAATGCGTAATTGGTTACTACCACCAAGCAGTAAACAAGCATACATTTGAACATTAAATTTACGGTCTTAAAAATAGCTTGAGGGGGGTCAGAATTTTTAATTTTTTGATTGGATTTTCAACGTGACAAGGTAAAAAAAAGAGATTTTCCGTGAAAATTTGCCGCTGGGATTTTCGCTTTATTGCCTAGTTTTGAAGGTATAAACTTTCGAACAGCAGCGTGTTTAGAACTTGGCAATAAAACGGAAATTCCAGCGGCAAATTTTTACACAATTTATTATCTTACCTTGTAACGTTGAATCCAATCAATTAAAAATTAAAAACCATGACTCCCTCGAAGTTTAATTTAAGACCCTAAATTTTCTGTTTAACTGTATGTTTTTACCGGAAGTGGGCTTTCAGTGCTCGCAGAAAAACAACCCACAGTAACCTTTGACGCATTCTGATTGGCTTTAAGCGCAATTGTCAACAATGCTCTGATTGCTCAAGAACGAAATTCCTCCCTTGTTCATGAAGCGCCCATTCGAATTCTGTCTTGAGGAAACTTGACATTAAATGTTAATTTACGCTCTCATTAACTGATAAGTTTTGGTAGTTTTACATTTAATTGTACCTTTTAGTTCTACCCAAATTTCAACTGGATGTCAAACCTCCTTCATATTTAGCATTGGATCAACGAGAGATTTTTGTCTCAATATGCGCCAGGTAGTTACCATACATAATTGGATTGGATGAAATTTTTCACCGACGATTCGACTCAAATGAATGCACTAATAAGTTCATCTATTCAAAAGACCACTATGTCACGGTTTCCATTTTGCAAAGTGTTTACGAATGGCCAAAGCCCAAGAATCGTGGATTGCGCATTAAATTGTAACTGTCCAACTTGCCTATAATGGTTCTAATGAATGAAATCTATCAAAATTATTTTGAAATAACCATTTAATATACGAACACACGTACTTGTATTGCTTAAAAACTGGCGGTGCAAAAGGTCAGAGTTAAGAGACAATGACAACAGAGAATCGACTTAATTGAAAAATATTTTACCAAAAAAGGACAATGTTCAGATGGTCTACACCTAAAGGAGTAATTAACACTGGATTTTTTTTCAAAATCCTTAATATGGAAATAGTAAGCATAGTGATAGTGAATAGAATATATTTTCACACCAATTTCAATTTCTATACAATGGATACATGCAGTATGGAAGTAGTGCAAATATACTATGGAATTAATGATGCAACCGCAAACTCCATAGGGTAGGCCTGCAAAGTACAGATGGTCACATAAAAAATAATGCGTTCTTTTTCTGGTCAGATTACAAACAATTTGGAAGTTGAAACTGACCCAGCACGCAAAACAAGCATTTTTCTAAAAATATTCCTGGGGAAAGTTTCTTTGTTATCGCTTTGGTCTGAAAATATTTCCATCCAAAAACGCTATATTTGTAAATAGACGTGTACAGTTTACTTACAGCATACACTGTATAAATATAAATATTTATAGTTCTAATCTGTTTTTGCATGTTGTTGATAGTGGATGTTCAAAACGATTTTGCAAGGAAATTACACTTGTTGTCGGAGTAATAACAAAAAAATCACACTTGTGGTGAAATATTCTAATCACGAAATAAAAAATTATAATTTGATTTTAGGTACTCTTATGGAAAGTTGGTCACAGGACGTTTAGAAGCCACCATCTGTCTCAAATATGATACCGTTACACGAAATTGTTTGACGGAAATAAAAAATGTAGGTTTCTTGCGCATTACACACTATGCAACGATAACGTGTTCAGTTAGGCAGTACATATGCGTAAGAATGTCGCGAATACGTTTATGGACTGTAATTATATTTCATAATAATGAATTAAGCAATTAAGTTACGAAATAGCCCAGAATATCAAGTAATTAATATCACATAAACCGAAGGTTTACGATGCGCAATGGCTTGCGTTACAGATCATTCTGATCTCTATTGAGACCCCGAAACGGCAATGGAGATACACATTAAATTTTGTTGTGGTTGTTACTGCACTTCTTCAGCAGATATAAACTAGGCTATCGCTGAAGCGCTGTTTAGTCAAGCTGAACAGAACGCCTTTTCTTGAAGGAAGAAGTTGAAGAAATATAACCATGAATCGAACAGACTTGTACCGTATAATGCGAAAATGTTACCGGAATAAAAATCTTAATCTATTTTGGGGAATTAAAGTGTTTGTGAAAACCAGCTTTCAAATTTATATTGAAAGACATTTTTTAGAACGCCCGAGAGGATTTAATCGCCTGAGACGTTAATTAAAGACTTGTAATTACCAATAAATAATCATGTCGTCCGACTCTCCTATAAATATGAGACGACTTAACTCGAACATACTTAGCAATGAAACATTGGATATATACATGACTGTCAAATTAATGACTATTTGTTATATTTTTTGGTCTCAATCTATACTGGTTCCCATGCAACTGTCCATCTTGTATTTATATTAGTCGCTATTTATATGAGAAGTTTAGTTCGTCCAGACTTTTATTAATTTAATTAAGACGTCTTCTAATGCAAATACGGTTAATTTATCATTCACTTCATAGTATTCTCAATTTTGATTGGATAATTTGTCTGCAAATAACTATGTGCAAATATCGATCAGATGCAAATAACTTGCGCAAATACTTTGTTGAGCATGCGCATTTTGAAGATGATTCGTCACCTTAAATTAAGAATTATCGCCTTCTCTTTTGAATTGTCAACATGGCTCGTTTTTCCGAGCCATCGGAAACCGATTGGTCATCTTTACTGGAGGAACAGGACGCCGAAAACACAAAAAAGGCACCAAAAGTTAAATTGTTTACACGCTTGATTTTATAAAAATCACAAGTTTTGTGCAATACAGTATTTTTACATAGTGTATATGTCAGACTAAATTATACTTTTTCAGTTGACTGTTCTCGTATTTGTTATTAAACTTGTGCCCATAATAATTTACAAATACTAATCGGTAAACGATAAAACAATTATTGAACTCGGCTATCTCAAAAATATAGTGAATTATCAGAGGCTCGCAGATCAATTATTTGCATCTGCCTTCGGCTTCGGCAAATAATTGATCTGCTCGCCACTGATAAATCACGATATTTTGCTAAACCTCGTCCAATAATTGTATATTATTATTTTACAGGTCACAGGATGCGTAGAGATTAATGCAAGAGAATTAGTTGACCCTGTAACAGAATATATGCCTTACTATACAAATAAATACTATCTACAAATTCAAGCAACATTTACTGAAACGTCCACTGGGGTTAAACTGAAAGAATACGCTCGAAGCCCTAATATGGTCGAAAAATCCAAAATCATGTCATTCACTAACGTTCCGCAAAAGTTCAAACCTGGATTTCCTATCACTTTCAAGGTATGGAATTTGAATTATATTCCATATTGTCTTCCGATCGTTGTTGAACTTTTCAGAAAAAGAAAACATTTTTCCTTTAACGGTCAACTCTGCCAGTAGATTGATGTCTGTCAAAGGATAATCTGCTTGGGCCCACTTTACTGACATGATAGTGATTGAACTTGAATACTTGATTATAAAATCATGATCTCTTTTGAATTTTAAAATTTTACATGCTCGCTACAGTGTGTTCATGACGCACTCGTCACTATTCCTTTCATCCTAATTAAAAAATATTAATTTTATAACAATTGTTAATTTTATAATATTAATAACTATTTTGATCCTAAAATATAATTTACAGAACGAAGGAATATTTTGTAATGGAACACTACCACTGCAAATGTTTTTCTAAAAACATGATTCTCCAGGAAAAACACGGGCTTCTGCTGTCTATTATTTTACTTGTCCGCTCAAATTCATTCATTGACACAACATGAAGATCACAGATACACTGTATAACAAGAGTCAAATACGATTCTCAATTACAGGAGCATATGTGAACACTTCAGTAATTTTAATTCATTATTAGTTTTTCCATTTATTGATCAAGCGTTTATGTCTGAAATCTTGTTTCTCACCAATAATATAACTAGAGCTTAATCATTACTATTACTAGAAATACATGCATGCAACAACCCCTCGCCTATGTTTTCCAAACATTGTTGCAACATGAAGTATTCATGATTACGCCAACACTGAATGCAGGCTCACTTTGCACGTCAAGTTAGTCATGGCAATACGAATCCAGCGCTTCCACTTTGAAGGAAATTTCCTTTTGAAAGGAAATTTTTCAAAATGAAGGAAATTTGAAGGAAATACATTTTGAAGGAAATGTGAAGGAAATTCTAGAAGAACGAGGGAAATTTGAAGGAAAAAGCAAAATTTCGCCAAAATTGGTAATATTTAATATATTTTGAAAATAAATAGTCCAGTCAATCTGTGACCAGAGGTCAAAGAAATTGCAATAGAATTTTTTTCAGTGGTAGAACGTGAGAGAATGTGTCCTGATTAACATACTAAAAATAAAAAAAATTTCTTCTGTGGAACATGGTGAAAATCGAGTTTTTCTTACAGAAACCTATAGAAAACCATTGTGAAAAGAATGTTCAAATTTTGAAATCATTTTTAGGCAAATGTAACCTACATTATCGGAAAGCTTAGAAAAAACTAAAATACAGATCATTAAACGGTTATGTCCAATTTACTGGTCAGTTTGTCGTTATTCTAGCTCAAAGTTGGAAAAATAGTGCAAAATTTGCACAAAATACAAATTTATGGCATTTTAAATCTTGTATAGCTTCGGATAGATAAGCAAAAGCAAGATAACCGTTTAATGATCATATTTAGTTTTTTTCTAAGCTTTCCAATAATGTAGGTTACTTTTGCCTAAAAGTGATTTCAAAATTTGAACATTCTGTCCACAATGGTTTTCTATAGGTTTCGGTAAGAAAAACTCGATAATATTTTCACCATGTTCCACCTAAGGGATTTCTTTGGATTTTTAGTATGTTAATCAGAACAACTTTTCTCACTCTTTACCACTGAAAACAAATCTATTGCGATTACTTTGATCAGGACCATGTACTTATAGTGATTTGAGTGGACTAAAAGCTTAAAATAAGCTTCAATCTGGCCACAATTTAACAGAGAATAGAAGTTGAGAATGTATATTTCATTATTGAATTTTGTCTCGCTGAATGACGTCATTCTGTTTATAGTTTTTAGTTATCTCCAGGGGCGTTGGAAATCTTTTTAGTTGGGGGGGGGGGCTTAAATGTCTTTGGGTCCTTCACTTTTTAACAATAGTCAGTAATAAAGAAAGTTAAATGATATTATTTCAGTTACACATGCAGACAAAACAACTTGAGATATTTTATGACATTTTGTTACCTTTAGAACTCTGTAAATCTCCTTATAAAGTGCAGGAAATGGCATTTCCGAGACTCTAGTTTAAACTTTTCCCGGAGGGCATGCCCCAGAATGTCACCTGCCATCAACCGCCTTCGGCGGACACTAAGTGTCTCCCCCCCCCCCACACTTTTACAGCTGCTCCGACGCCCCTGGTTATCTCACTTGTCTGTATGGAAATAAAGTCATATACAGTAATTGTATTAGACTTTAGAGCAATGATAAAATTGAACATCCAGATGGTTGTTATGTTGAGAAAAGGCTATTTTGAGGTTGATTTTGGAGAATATTCAGCGTAATTTTATTTAATTTTATAAAGGGAATTTGAAGGAAATTTCACAATTTTTTTAAGGAAATTTCGGTCAAAATAAGCGGAATAAAAGGATTTTTTGGTTTTCAAAGTGGCAGCACTGCACGAATCACGATTTTTTAAATTTTTGAGCAAAGCTGCAAAAAATAGATGAAACTTGAACACTTTTAAACACAGAACTGTCAGGTAGGTATATTAATTTGGTTTCTATGGCCTTTATTTTAATGTAAAATTCAAAACGAAACCCTACGTAAAACGTTTTTAAATGTGAATTGAAATCAGCTACTTTTTGCCGATATTTATATAAACTCTTCAACTCAAGCTTCTACCTATTACTCGCACCTTGAAAGGAAATAAATTTAATTCGTACAGGACGCTGATGAAAATAAATTGCTTTCTTTTTTATAATGAACTTCTACAAAGGTTAATTTAACTAAGAAACTTTCGCACACACTGCACACTTGAATTAAGATCAAGAACAAGTCCACATTAAAGTGCATATGGCATGAAATTTCATATTTTCTTAAATGAAAGAACTCTTTAAGCTGTAGTTTAACTTATTTTTCAGTTTCTTGTTTTTATGGTTTGTTCCCGAGATATTTCAAATTGTTTGATATGTAAATGAGTGTGAATATGTCCGCTAATTTATGACGTCATGTTGGTTGCAAGCTCAACTTACACTGGTTATAAATCTATTAAATCTAAAAACTGTAGGTATCTGTTCACGTTTTTTCTACAGTGTTTCATCATATTTACCAGTGAGTGAAGTTTGATATTATCATTTGGATGATAGCAGTGATATTCAACCATTTTGAACAGCTTGCAACCAACATGACGTCATAAATTAGCGGACATATTCCGACTCATTTACATATCAAACAAATTGAAACATCTCGGGAACAAACCATAAAAAACAAGAAACTGAAAAATAAGTTACACTACAGCTTAAAGCGTTCTTTCATTTAAGAAAATAAGAAATTTCAGGTCATATGCACTTTAATACAAAGTCATACATAAACAATTGAACACTTTAGGATTTCTCATACTAAATCAATTCTTACAAATGTTTACGTTTACTTAAAAAATTGTATAAAGTTTTACAATTTGTTATGTGAAACGATTTTCCAAGCTTTCCGACAATCATTTTTTATATTTGTTGCCTGTTCACTCCTGGGAAGCAGCCATATTTTGAAATCAGTGAGATGACCACCCACCAAACCCATGTCCACGGTCATTGATGAATTTTAGACTTCGCTGATGCTTTCGTTTCCTCGGGTGTAATTAGCCAGAGGGGGGGGGGGGGATTAGTACCCTCGTACGGCGCTTCGCGCCGTCGGCTTGGGGATAAATGGAAGCTTTACACATTCACCGGGAAAACCAACTCTTAACCACTTGATTAAAGCGTCAAAAGAACTAATTACCTATAATTCAACTGCGTGCATTAAGAGGTTTCTTATCGCCTATACGGCTATAACGAATGTTATATCACACTTGTACATATACATCTTGTAAAATTTAAATGCAGAGTATTAAGTATTTAATTCGTTTAATATACTTCGTCCTTGCCACAAGTAATTGTCCATATTGACAATAAATTATGCGAAAATAGGTGCATGCGTCATGTCTTTAATCGCTGAAACTGGTTTTCAATTCGAGTTTTCGCCTTGTGTAGAGAACGACTAAAATGAATGATCCAAGACAACATCAGTCTCTATTATTTACAAATTTATTATTTCCTTCAAGATTAGAATCAATTATCTGGATGGAAAACCTGTGACTAATGGCAGACTTACACTTGAAGTCTCTGGACGTCGCTTTAATAAAAAGTCGCTTGGAACATTATTTCGACGATCTTACTCTGTTAACAATGGCTTGATATCTGTCTTTTTCAGCAATGTACCGATTTATACGGAGACCCTCAACTTTAAGGTAAGTCTGCGTTCTATTGATTAGGTACTGGTTGTTTTTTATTAGGTAGTCATATGTCCTTAGAAAACTCTCTTGACATCTGAAAAATTTGTTTGTTACAGATGTAAAACAATTCTTGCCAAGAATACATTTGGCTATTCCCGCTAGCTACCCCATATTTTATTCAGGGTCCGTTTAAAGAGCCATCCTTATACAGTTTCTTGAATAGTGGAAAAGACACATTACAAACCAAAATAATTTGTACATTGATATTTTTATTGAAGAATGAAACCAGATGTTTTGCATAGAACATTATTTTGAGAATCAGAAACTGGCTACCCCAAATTTTATTCAGGGTCCGTTTTAAGAGCCATCCTTATACAGTTTCTTGAATAGTGGAAAAGACACATTACAAACCAAAATAATTTGTACATTGATATTTTTATAGAAGAATAAAACCAGATGTTTTGCATAGAACAGTATTTTGAGAATCAGAAACTGTAACGAAAAAGTCCGCAACTGTGGTTACTATGGCAACAATGACGTTTCGAAATGGCTGCTAATTTACGTTTAATTAAGTTAATTTTAAAAGAATGTCGGTGACCCCCAACTTTTATTTTATTAAAAGTTATCTGTTAGTATAAGTAATCATTAAGCCAATTTTTTAAAAAAATTCTGTAGATCCAAAAATTTTTGGTCACGAATAAACACTTTATTTCGATTTTGTTAAAAAAATTACTAATGATTGTTCATACTAGAAAAAAAACTTTTAATAGAATAAAACTTGGGGGTCACAGCCAGTGTTTTCAAATTAAATTAATTTTAAAGCAAATTAGCATCCCTTTTGATACGTCATTGTTGCCATAGTAATCACATTTACGGACTTTCCCTTACAGTTTCTGATTCTCAAAGTACTGTTCTATACACGACATCAGGTTTCATTCTTTTATGAACATATCGATGTATCCATTTTTTGATCTGAAATGTGCCTTTTCCAATTTTCAAGAGACTGTATTGAGCCAGCTTAACTCCTCCCTTCCTCCACTAATCAATCGTCTGCACTATGATAATTGTTCAACAATCACCTTCATAATAATTTGGTTTTTCTGTATGTATGAAGTTATCTTTAAACACTTTAGGCAAACTACAATTCTGGACAGTTAGAAAAAAGTAAATCTTCCAAAGCTTTGTATTCGCCAAGTTTGTCTTATCTGAGATTGGTTTTACCAGAACATGTGACAGCAAAGGTAAACATTTTATATCACATTGCTTGCTTAATGGACAGCTCGGTACTCTCGCAATAGCAGATTGATATAACAGTGTTCGTACACATGCAATATATAACGACTCTTCTAAAATGCATTATTTTACTTCAAAAGATTAACTTCCGGGATAAAAGTTAGCTTCCAGCATCACTATTCGTTATATGAACTTATTTTAGGTCGGGAGTCTAGGATCTGTGAATGTTTTGTACACCGTTCACGAAAATAATCTGGAAGAGATTCCCTTTCACTATAAGGTATTGTTAGTTTGAATTATGTTCACGAGAGCCTAAGAGTGCTCGATATCATATAGATAGAGCGCGATGTGTAGTTTTTACTTCAGTGTAAAGGTTTCCACTACACCCTGTTTCATCCAAGAGGAATCGTCAGGCAGCTGACAATATTTTTAAAAATGGGCTGCTTAAATGTGGGCATGAGGGAGTCGAACATACATGCAATTTTGTATTGTTTTCGTTCTTCACTTGGAGTTTCTCGAAGAGTGCTGGATATCATGTACATAGAAAATTGCTAAATATGTAGTTTTACACCTCAAAGAGTTGCAACAACAGCCTGATTCATCCAGGAATCTCATCGAAAAATGGATTGCCTCAGCATGGCAAAGAACACCTAACTTACAAGGGATAAATTAGAATGGCTAAAAATTTGAAAAATACATCTTCTTGGATTCTTCTGAGCTCAATATTTTTGGCCGAGATTTCAATATTGCGCCAGGCCGAAGGTCGAGCCTAATATTGAAGTGGATAGTTACTTAATATTTTGCCATATTGGACGAATATGAATCCAATAAGAGTTTTATCCAATCGAACAAAACAATTGTATCACAAAACATTGTCAAATAAACGATAAAGTAATACAACGTGAATAATACAGCGACAACATTACAACTACATATACCGACGGCGAATTTGTTTAAAAATAACTAAACAAAAAGTAAATAAACTTGTTTTTGCAAACTCAATTCCTTGTATGTTTAAAGGAAATTTGACTTAATTTTAACAAAAAAAATTCTATTACTAACGTCGATGCTGTTGCAAATAAATTAATTTCGCGAAGAGAAGTTTTGCCCCTTTAATAATTTCAAACAAAACTGGTAGAAAAAACTGTATTAATGTCCTAAATTCTTTTCATATTCTGCTATTTTGCTTTTCGTATGTTTGAAATTGACAAAAACATCTGAACAGCGTTGAAAAAACAAGAAGAAAAAAAACACGATTCGCAACTGTCCAACAGGTTCCTGCCCAATATCGTAAAATATTGGATCGGCAGGTGACCCTCTTAACGATTACTGATTGATTAAGTGCGCGTGAGTGTACTATAATAATAACAATTGTCTTAATGCAATAATTATAATAATAACAATTGTCTTAATGTTCTGCACCATCAGCGTTGTTCTCTACTATTTTATCAAAGATACAGTCTAATCTCATGGAAGTAACGATATGAAGGCTATTTGAGATCTTACAATTACACTTTTGGATGCTAGGCGTTTTCTTTCCTATTGATATAAATTGTAATTGTCGGATCCAAGTTGGAACAACTACCAAAAGGAAATTAACCGGAATAAATAATTGAACCGATAGTTTGTCGAATTTATCCAATTCAAGTTAGGTGGTTATAACACCAGAGGTTTATCGTACATTATCTTATATTTATAGTGCAAATTTAGAACAGAATTGTGCGCATTGAAATCCAGGCGTTTCCATATATACAAAAAAATGTTATTCCAAACAGGGCGATAACGACCCAATGCATGTTCTAAATAATAGAGAACCTTTCATTTAAAAATAAAACATCGAGTTTATGAAATTACCTTTAGTTCGGTCGCATAAACAGCTCGACGTTTCAGCTAGACCAATAACGCCTGCATAACTATGATTTTCTCGCTCATTTAAATTCATTATGATGCGATTCTATGTCATGTACTTCGACTAAATTTCACTTCCCTAATTTTGGATGTATGGTGAATGACAGTTTCTCCAACGGTGTCCCAAGAATTTCATCCCACCCCATCATTTCGCCCCCCTTCCCCCAGTGAAGATTCGCCCTTTCGGGTAACGAATTTCCTGGGATATCCCCTCCCCCCCTTTAGGATGTTGGACCCTCGTCCCTTTAGAAACGTCACCTTTGTTGCCCACAAACTACATGTTTGTATACCAGTGTATTTGAACTTTATGGTCATTCTCTTTTAAGATTCTGTGTAAAGGGAATCTGAGACAGTCTGGTGTTACCAAAGTCGCTCGGGATAATCGTCTCAGCTCGAATAGAAACGAAAGATCTTTTACATATAATGGTAGAACAATACAAAGAAGAAGTGTCAACAAATTTGAACTTAAGTTCAACGTTACCCAAGATATGGTTCCAAGCTGTAGAATTCTGGTCTATTATGTCAAGAAGGATAAAGAGACTGTTGGTGACAGCATTGTGTTCGATGTTGAAGAAAAGCTTGAAAATCAGGTACGAGCTTAAGTAAAATATACTTTCGCTTGCTTCTCCGGTTTGAATAAGTGAATATGACCTCTCGTAGAATTAGATTCAGGAACGAACCTTTTCACGTTTCAACCTAATATCCTTGTAACGTTGGTATCGGTACGCTTGGTGGGCTGTTATAATTGGGAAAATCCTGCGCTATTCACCAAGATTGTAATGTTTCTCTACATCCTTTTGTATATTTGAGTAAGCACGTGCGTCACGTCCTTGAGACTTTACGGGCAATTGTCTGCCATTAGAAGATTGAACTGGAAATTAGCCATATTACTCAGAGACCATCTGACGGCCTCCCTAAGTCGATATTGATAGTCAGGGTGAAAGAATAATAGAAAATCAGTTTCTAATCACTATAAGAAAAATAGGGGATCAATTTCCTGCCATAAAAGCCTTTGACAGCTCACGATCATGTGGCCTTCAATCTAATTATGAATGTCGGCACATTTAAAAATTGGACATATCTTGATTTTACCATCTATTGGAAGTTATTGTCTCTTTTAGTAACTACAATTATTTTCCCGAATTTATCCTCTACGCCTATATAAGTTGACGTTAAACATGTTCAATTACCTTTCGTTCATGACATAGATACATGCATGGTGCACGACAATCAGGGGCGCCGGAGCCACGGGGGCAGCGGGAGCAACTGCCCTCGTTGCCCAAACATTGCGGGGGCAGCACGGGGGCAACAGGATGGTCTTTTTGCCAGAACTGGACCTCAAAATTTGTGCATTATTCACTGCAGAAATTGGAATTTAGAACTTAATTTTTAGAACGATGTTTTTAGAACAATGTTTTTCAGTCAGTATGTGTAAACAAAGACTTTGTTTCCATTTCGGTATCCAAAATATGGAATTTTATTCGAAAACTATTTATATTTTCATGATTCTAGAGCTTTTAAATTATCAAGACACGACAATCAAGCTTTGCAAGAACGTAAAATGAAATAAGAAAGTACTAAACTGTTTGTATAATAAGAGGGCTCGATCCTTTGTGCACATACGCAGATCGGACTGTACAGCATTTTTGTGTCCCAATCAATTCTATGTGTGCCCAACTGCCTCCCCTTGTCGTTCATTTGTCATTTTGGCGAAAAAAACGTTACAAATGCCCCACCATGGGGTCCAAATAATACAAAAAATTCCCCATCCCTGGGCACTTATATTTCTGAACCAAAAAATCGAATGCAGGCTCTATTTTGTATCAATATATCTGTATTTAAAATTGATTCTGTAGCCATTTTGTTTCAAACGTTTTTATTCAATTAAAATATGGATGTCTCAAAACTTAAAGTAACAATATAAAAAGGCAGAAGTATAAATTAGTCAGTGTATTAACACTATGGACAAGAATAAAAGTGTGTATTATCATAGCCCATACTCAATAGAAATCAGGGCTATGCAACTCATTGTCCTATGTTATTGTTCACGTTATGCATATTTATGTAAATTCATACCATTGTATTTTCTGTATAATGAAGCTGTCATCCAATAGCAACAATTGGACTGAATCAATAGTTGCTTCAACGTCACGTGTTGGGACGCTTCGAATGAAAAATGCGGCATGAGTAGATCGCACTATGGTATATGTGCGTACTACTAATACGGTTAGATAGGGAAACAAGCGACAAATATTCCACTTTTTAGTCTCGAGCAAATACCTCACTCCAGGGCTAACATGCAGAAAGCAAATGCCCGACCCTGGGAATAAGTACAGTTGATAATGCCCTACAAACGCCCCGGGGGGGGGATCCATGGAATTAGCCTTTCTCACGCCGCCATTTTTGGGTGGCATTCAACTGAAATCCGGGAGATCAGTCCACATAGCAGCGACTTTTTATATTTTTTTGACAAATGGTGGTAAATATGCTTTGTAAAAGATTAGTTTATTTTGAAAAATTCCTTCTCACATTGTTTTAATTGTCTGCATTGGTAAACGAGAATTGCGTGCCACCCAAAAATGGCGGATATTCGTCATCGTGAGAAAGACTAATGGATTGAGACTTTAAGCAATCTTTTTGCTTAATTTTTAACCAGTTGTAGTAAAATTAATGCTAAATCAAGCAATATACGTTCGTTCACTGATTTCATTTTGCGCCTTTAGCACGGTGCAACAAATAAAATTGTTCAAAATTAATGTCAAAGTTTGCCGACCCATAATGGCCACAAGTAATCGAGTATCCATACAGCAAAATTTTAGCAAATATTGCTGTCCAGAAAAATGAAGTGCCCTTTTGAAATGGCTGCCCCTGCCTCTTCACATTGCTTCCGGCGCCCCTGACGAAAATGATAATAGAGCCATGGATTTGCTAGGACAAAATAGTCTATGTTTCAAAGTTTTCCAAGACAAGTTCCCCACCGTTAACGAAAGTTGGACAATGAAATATATCAAAGTAATTATTTGCTAAACATGTGTTGTCTGCGGCATCTTTTTTTAGATCTCGGTTGATTTTGTTGAGGCGCAGAAAACGCCCGGTCAGAAAACGAAGATTGTAATGAAAGCAAAACCTGGGTCTCGTGTGGCGATTTCTGCCCTTGATAAAAGTGTTCTATTTTTGAGAGATTCTGAAGAAGTAAAGAAAGAAGAGGTGCGTGATTAAATTTTGATTATAGGTACAATTTGAACATTGGATAGCTTCTTGGCCGAGTCAAAGGCAACCGTGTTATTATTCATTTCACAAAACTAATTAACTTAACTAACATTCATTCTTGAAAATTGTAGCAATTATTTCTCAGCTGCCTCCTTCGTTGTCGTGTGGTTAACTGGCATACCAGCCAGTGGTGCCAACCTCACCGGCGTTGGTTGTGTACCAGCTTTGACAACAGTATTAAGGTCAGGGTGACGTCAACCACAACGGGAACTTGTGAAATTGTCAACATCATACCATCCTTTATCATAAAACACCGCGAATTGAAATACAATATCGATTCTAGATTTTCTATCTATTTCTATAGGTAATGAGAATTCTTAACCGACAAGATATTGGTCTAATGAACGCGCGTAGCTATTCAAAATGTAAATCCCCTTCAAGAATGCCGCTTGAAACAGATGCTTCCGAAGCATTTAACGTAAGTACGAAAATAATATTTATCTTTGAGGATTCATTTGTTTCGCTGAATGGTATTTTAATGGCTGCATGGTCGAGTGCCATTCATTGTCTTCAACTCTCAGTGGACACTCCTCCAGCGGAACTAGAAATTTCCTATGTAGGCACATCATGTACCGCAAAACTTGAATCTCCCAATAGTGGACTGAGTAATAATTGCATGGCTTCTTCCAAAATTCAAAGACCAATTTGTGAAGTATATGTTAATTTTTTATAAGTGTTTCATGAGCGGTTTTTCTGTTAAATAGAGGGAAAAAACTAGCTATACAGAAAATTGAACACAAAAAGGAACAATATTTCTGCTGCGATTCTCAGCCATTTTTGAATAGATGACATGCATTCCAAGTAGTTCAAATTGTTAAATTAATACATTTTCGCTGTTTGTATTTTTTATGCAAACCTTGTTATCATATTTATTTGTCAGAAACAGCTTTAATGAATTCCTTTACACACTGCATGTTAAACAAAACTTTGTGGCTTTCGTCGTATTTGGCGAAACCGCATCTTCGTTTCGTTCAAAAATTTACTCGCCATTCTGTAACCGGAACGAAACGTGAAGTCACTTTGTTTTCATTTGGAGAGCAATAGTGCAACGACAACGTAACTGAGCAACCAATAAAAAAATTGCGTGACAAGAATTATTCGCCCCCAAGTATATATCGCTAGAACTGAGGACTTTAGAACACTGCAAAAAATTATGTGTAAATTTTACACAAAAAACGTGAGTAAAATTTGCATCCACAGCAACACATTTATATGAGTAAATTCACTCCAAAATATCGGTGAATTTACACATTGTTTGTGTAAACATTACACAAAAATATTGGTAAATTTACACAAAAGAAATGCATCCACAGCAACACATAATTTTGTGTAAAATTGCACTTTGCGCATTGGATGTGTAGATGCTACACAGAAATAATGGTAAATTGCTGCAACTGAAATGCATCTAGAACTACACTTTTTTGTGTAAAATTCTTCTTTGCAAATTCTACACAAAAATATAATTATTAAATATCTACCATATTAAAATGAAACAGTCACAAAAAATGGTTTAAAAATAATATATTTACTTAAAAGTTACAGTCGTGCCAATAGAAGCATTCCGAAAAATGTTGAACAGTTCATTTTCTAACTTCGAGGAGTTCCAATGAACAACTCCTCAACAATTTGATAAGTTCCTTAAAAAGTTCCTAACTTCCTGTTTCATTGACCAATCGGATTGCTCAAAAATAAAATATAAGATTTGATTGGTCAATGTAACAGGAAGTTAGGAACTTTTTAAGGAACTTATCAAATTGTTGAGGAATTGTTCAGAGGAACTCCCAATCTCGTACCCAGAGCAATGCCTGTGAGCGGGCTAGGATGGCATTGGCTCCGGGGAAATTGAATTTTTCCTGTGCTGTGATTGGTTAACGTTTATCAATCGTGCATGCCGACAAAGAACCGGAACCCCTAAATTTAGGGATTACGGTTGTTAATTTCCCCAGAGCCAATGCCATCCTAGCCTGCGCACAGGTATTTCTCTGGGTACGAGATTGAGGAACTCCTCGAAGTTAGGAAATGCACTGGTCAACATTTTTCGGAACGCTTCTATTGGCAAGACTGTATACACATTGCACATGTTCACCAAAGTTAAATCTTGTCAATACTCAATTATTATAATGTTGAACCTTACTACATATTATTCAAAATGTACCGTTATAAAAGGAATTGGTATTGCATTTCCTGATTTCAAGTTCAAGCCACTTCAAAACTTAGTTATATTCAGATAAACATAAAAAGTTTTATTATTATAAATATATACCATATATTGTCCAATGTTTTATTTTACCATAAATAGTTGTCCCTTTGTCTGAATTGATGTTTTCACTCCACATTATAGCACAGTTGAATTCCCACGCAGACCTTCAAAGCAAAATGAACAGATTTTTTTTATAGTAAAGTCAGGGGCATTAATTAGTGGGCTAACCAAACAATCTGCCAATGAACCTTGTAAACTTGTTATGGTAACTTAAGCAGTGCACAACAATTTGTGCGGTGTTAACTGGATATTACACTAGGCCGGACACAAGCTAGAAAGCTTGTGGTGTATGGCATAAGCTGCATTGTGCCAAAACTTTATTATTTTACTCTGTCTAATGTCAGATGATTTTACTGGTCAGTGCTGTCACTCAATGGGTTAAACAAGTAGCACTCCTCTCACATACAACTGAGGTGAAATCATAACCATACATGAATGTATGAAAGTTTTCTGGAATTAGCCAATAGCATGTTAATTAAATCACAAATACCAACAAGCATCACCTTTACATTTTAAAAAGCATCTAAAGGATTTTGCTGCTGAAAAATTCTTTATCACGCTGTAAACTCATCTGATCCTACACAATGAATGATTACAGATAAATTATTTTTTTGTTTTCGTAGGAAATATTTGATTCACTATAGTTCCTCCCATAAGTGAAGTGACTGCTAGTACATGCTAACCCAGAAATCATTGTGCCACAGGCAAAATTTCAAATTTTTAACCCATTAAGTGCATTGCACCCTACTTTATTGTATTCCTGTCTAATGCCAGACAATTTATTTGTGAGTGGGAAGAAAATGCTGGTGGTTAATGGGGTCAATCTGGCCATGTGTCTAAGTGACCCATTAAGTTGCATAGTATCCTTATGTGTCGACACTACTTCCTTATTTTATTAATGCCATTAAGTGCCAGCGCTCTCCACATGACGAGTAAAATCGTCTGGCGTTAGACAGAGTAAAATAATCTGGCGTTATAGACAGAGTAAAATAATAAAGTGGGGCGCATCAGGGCGTAATGCAACTCAATGGGTTAATGCCAGACTATTGTACTCTGTCTAACACGAGACAATTTTATTCATCAAGACTCAAGTAGAGAGTGCTGGTAATTCAATCTAGCTTTTGATGCAATGGTAGACAATACTCACTATTCATGATTGATACTTTTGAGTGCAGAATGGAAGGGTTTGGCTTTGGGTGAGTTCTCGGCACTATCGTCTGGTGCTTCCACCGACTTCTACTCATTGTAATGGTAATCATGTAAGTCAAGGTTCTGGGATAAAATCTATCTATGAAGGAAAATCCATTCTCTATAATCACACGCACCATGTAGTAATTTTAAGCAGCTTTCCCTTGTCTGTAAGTTGGCTGGAATAGGTATGCTAGCAATGAGAATACAGGATGTCAGCACTTGTAAAAAGAATACTAGTTTTATGAAGCTGTAAAACTGCTTTTATAAAGTCTCCAGTGACTATCCAATCATTTAGATGCAATTTATTATAAATTGCTTTTAGGGCCTATTTATATATGATCCCGGCTATAGACATTTGGCATGATCCCACTTGCAATATAACTATATTGAGTGTTTATCGTAAAATGAAATATTCTACTACCTCTATCTGGCTTAGGTGGGATCCATATGGCGGGATCCCATTATTTATTGCCGGGATCCCACAGTCTCCCTAGACGAGAAATTCTCGTACAAGCACTCTATCATCCCTGTCACACACACACCATCCTGTTTTGCCTAGCTAAGTTTCTCAGCAAGGTTGGATTAAAACCATGCCATAATTTGTCACATAAACAGGCACACACAGTATATAAACTCCAGAAGTCTTTATTTTACTTGCCAAGGGGAGAGAGCTGCCTCGAAATCCAGGGGAGGAGTTGAATTAAAAGCACAGAACCCACAATTAAATTAAATACTAAATTCAATCCATGTCAACAAATAAATTTAATGCTGGTACATGCTGCTATAAACCAAGAAATAGCACTGAACTGATAATCTTAATCAATTCTATATATTGGGTTAACAATTTTTTGAATCAGATAAATAACATTGTGACTTACTCAGGTTTAATAGTCTCAAATAATTTTCATGTTTTAGCTTTTTATAATAGGGATGTTCACATATTGTTTTATATGGTATGTGGTTTCAAACATGCTTTGGGGTTTTGCCAAACAAGTGTTTGCCATGTGTTTATTCAAAACTTGAATTGTTGATTTTAACTAATATTTGACGGCAATGAAATGAAATAATTTCGATATAAAACGTATGAATTCTCGTGCGCGCAAATTCAACTTTTAGCTGCCACAACAGCAACAAGATATATGAGATAATAGGGTCGATGGACGTTATAATTACATGATATAAACAGTAATATTTCATACCTGAGATCAAATAAGCCTTTGCCAGGATTCGGAGTCACTTACCCAACACCAAATATGACGAAACATGCTTTTCCTCTTGCTTTTCTTCAACGAAAGATACTCAAACGAAGGAGTCAAATACTTGCAATCACAGCTGACATTTGATACACGACATACCACAACTCATTGCGCGCGTGCCTTGTCTTCTAAAATAGATACACGAATAAGCGCTCCCAATCTATCGCTAGCTTGAAACTGTGCGAAGCATAAATCTGGCCAAAAAATGATCATAAAAAATTGGTAAAAATTCTTATAATGAAGAATAATGAAGATAGATTCTCTAAAACATTATATGCCAATTACCATTATATAAAAATTTTATGGTTTAATGTATCGCATGTCATAACATGTGATAGCATGTCATGTCATCGCAAATCTCGGACTATCGATCGATTTCATGGACAAAAACGTCTACGAGACGTCGCTTAACTCTCGCTCCATATCCGAAACTAGTCGCTGTATTACTATAGTTCACACTGAAGAAAAGTTAGGTAGAAACGTGCACTACTTTGATTGATTGAAACCAGCTAAATATGATAATATATTATTGACTGATTAAAAGTGTAATATTTACACAAACATCTGAGTTCTAATAAATTTCAATGATTTACGCATACTGTGTAACTCGTTTTCTTCATAATACATTGTTTTGCGTAAAGACCGAAATATTACTCATATTTTTGTGTAACATTACGCGCTTCTCATGTTTACACAATATTATATGTGTTGAGTTTACACAAATAACTGAGTATAAAAAAAATTAACTCAACGTGTGTGTGATGTTACTCAAACTATTGAGTAAATGTTTACTCAAAATGTTTTGTAAATGATCAATTTACCGAGTATTTTGTGTTAACTTAACACAATAATTTGATTTAACAATTTACTCCCATTTTTGTATTAAATTTACACAAAAATTTGAGTTGAAAGCAAGATTTTACTCAAAATCTTGTGCAAATTTACACATCATTTTTTGCAGTGAAG